AGCTTGGAGAACTCAGAAGTTAGATATTGTCTTCTCCATTAGAAATACTGTATTCCTGCACCCGACCTGATTAGTCCACCTGACCCTGAGAAGAGCACCTCTGCATTTTAGTCCCAGACAGAGCATTTAGACCCATCAGGAGCATACCTGTCAAAATCCCCACCTTTGGCTACAGCCAACATCCAAAGGCTCTGAGGAAGGCAACCCCCCACCCCGTGTAGGAGCAGACGGGGAAAAAAATCCTTCCCAGCCACACGTGGCAACCAGCAAAGCCCAGAAACATGGGAAATACCCATAACAGAAAGCAGGCATAGCTACTCCTAGATCACCCCCAACCACTGCTTATCCAACCTCTTTCTGAACATCCCCAATGCTGGAGAGTCCACAACTTCCCCAGGCAGTCTATTCTATGGCCTCACTGTTCACACCGTGAATATGTTTTTCCTGGTATATAATCTAAAGCTACTTTGCTGCAATTCCAAGACATCGGTTCACATCCTCTTCTCTACAGCAAGGAAGAAAAGATTTTCTCCCTCTTCTTTATGGCAACCCTTCTGATATTTGAAGACTGCTATTATGCCCCCTCCTTTGTGCCTCTTCTGTAAGCGAAACATGACTATTTCCTTCAACGTCTACTCCTATGGCTTATTTTCCAAGCCCTTTATCATTCCTGCAGCTTGCATTTGGACCCTCCAACTCCTCCATGTCCTTTTTAAAATGTGGAGCCCAAAGCTGCATGCAATACTCTAGATGAGCCTAACTAGTGCTGAGTAGAGGCACTATCACCTCCTATGTCTTGCACCTGATGCTCCTTTGATACAGCTGAACAGTGCATTTGCTTTCTGTGCAGCTACATCACAGTGCAGACTCAAATTTCCAGCCTATAAGCAGCCCCACAGGCCAGATGACATGACTGCACCCTGGATGAGGCCCATGGAGCCAGAAATTTGGTGATGAGACAACTGCAAGAACGAACACTGCCATCACTTGTCCACTGTCAGATTTCCAGCTCCATGAGCCACGTGACACCCGTGGTCTACTCTAAATTAATAAGAAACAGTCCTGACCTGTTGCTTTGTATCAGTCTTTCATCCACCACTACATTTCTCCCACTCAGCCTTGACCAGATGTTCTGAACTCTGCAGACTTGTTCACTATTTTCTCAAATCTCTGACTTATCCCCAGGGAATAAGAACCAATCAAATTCCAGATCAGGACAACAACAGCACATCCTCAAACCTACTCCTTCCTCAGGTGTGTCTTTACTGGGCATGTCTACATGAGGTGATTACTGTGCAGTAGACTAATTAGCTGCACAGTAAAAGTCTCAGTGTCTACATGTGTGCCCCTATTAGGTTGGAGTAAAGTAATTTACTCCACAGCAGGATAGTACTTGTATTTACAAGTACTATCCTGCTGCGGAGTAAAAAACTCTGCAGCAGCGCACATTTAGATGCTGTCCCAGCTGGCTGGGGCAAGAGAGTATTTCAGTGAAGGGGCTGCCTGCTGGCTAGCCCTGCACTGAAGCAGCCTTGTGCACTAGCCAGCCCTGCTGCAGCATGTTGAACCGAGGGGAGCAACCCTGGGCTAGCAGGCTGACCCCACAGTTCCCCTGCTGGCTGGGGCTGCTCTGCCCCAGTTCAACATGCTGCAATCTTGCAAGCACATGCAGATGTGTACCTGAGAGCAAGAAACTCCAGAGCAAAAAGCTCCAGAGCTTATTGCTGTGCTTTAATAGGCATGTGTAGGCAGGCCCACTGATACCTGCACAGCAGCATACAAACTACAGAAACAGTCTCACATGGAAGAATGCCTGAAGGCTTCCTTTGAACTCTATGTCATCTCATGCCCTAGTTCCTACTGCTTCATAGAAATACCCTAACTCCCTTCCACTTGGTGCAGCTTTCTTTTTATTACAACCCTGAAGTGGAAGTTATAGGGTCCACTGATTCTGCTACTGAGACAGCAACAACAACAACAAAAAACACACAAAAAAGCTCTAATTACCTATTACACTATTACTCAGAAATGTTTCCCAATGTCTTTTTTCTCTTCAACAAAAGTTTTTAGACATGGGGCTTTCACAAATGTTGCATTGTTGTGAATTTGTAAAGTTGAGAAGTAAATTAAACTAAATATAAAACCATAAATACATATACAGATGAGAGAAAGCACACACAACATGTAAATTAACATATTATAATATACCTGTTGAATATGGAAGAAAGTCTTGATCATTCCGAATGTCCCATGTGAGGTTTCTGCTATGCACTGCCTGGAAGTAATCATTAACAGTGGCATACTGGACAGTCACTCCAAATTCATCAGCATGCTTATTAATATAATCTAGTAATGGATCCATGTTGGTGTATTGAACTGATGCATTAAAGAATTGTTTGTCACAGCCCTGAAATTTAGAGAATAAAACAACTAGGTCACTTCTAGTCATTTTTTAACTTCCACATAAAAGCTACTTACCAATGTTTTTGCAATAAAGTTCTTAACCTCTAAAGGAGGAAAGCACGGCCATGGAGGTAGGCTCTGTGTCGATCAGCGCTAAACATGTCTAAAATCATGAGTGGAAGTAATTAAGGAGTACTACTAAATACAGTTGGATGCTATTTTGTAGTACACAAATCAGCAGGAGGGCATGCTGTGCTTTGTCATTACTTTGCTAAGGCTGCTTACAGATATAAACTGCCCTCCTGCCCCTGCCTCACAAAATGGTGCTTTATTTTAAACTCGGTGTGCCCCTGTGCTAAGCCCACCATATGCCCAGAAACAGCAAATAGATAAAAGCCCTGAAAAGACCCACTGAAGCACGTGATCTATACAGACGCTGTGGAGTCAGGTTGAATTGATGTGCTGCCTCTTCTGGTAAAGCGTGTTTTTTTTTCTTTTCAACGTCTCTCGGTGCCCACAGTGTTGGGTTAGGTTTGGGGTGTCACAAGTCAACACAGGCACCCCAACCCTAACTGCACTGCTGGGAAAAACACCCCAGGTTATAAGAAACAGGAAATATATATCTATATAGATCTCTCTCTATATATACATACACACACACACACGCACATATATATATAGATATACATCTATCTATATCTATATATATATATATAGAGAGAGAGAGAGAGAGAGAGAGAGAGAGAGAGAGAGAGAGAGAGAGAGTCTGACTCATGGACAGAATGAATCACAGATGTTTTACCTGCTGCAGCAGTTTTGGCTATTTAGGATTTGGCCATTTGTTTGACAATTTCTTCCAGTAGGATATGGTTAACTGAATTAAAAAAACAGACTGAAAATAAGATTAGGTTCTCTGGCAGACTAAGGACCATGAATACAACAGATAAAGCAGACAACCTGAATGGGCATATCTGAGGTTCATGTACTGTATATTCTTGCTACTGCAACTAACCTATATATGGCCTTGACAAAGCAGTAGTCTTAGGACTACAGTCCATTCATTCAGTTCAAAACTTCTTCTTCTCCCCAAGACAGCTTTTATACATTGGGCTGGTGCACCTATGGTCTGAGCAGATAACAGTGGAAAAAAGCTGCATAGAGATAAATCAGGGATCCAGAAATTGCAAGAAATAATTTTTTTCTTTGGAGTGACAAACATTCCATTAAAGGTGGCCATGAAAGAATCCCTAACTTTGACTAAGAAGTTCAGGGTTCAAAAAAGAGACATTTCTGCAAATGTTGGGAAAGGCATTTTTTCTAATGGTTCAACTTGTGAATACATACTTTCAACATCCTTTACAACTAGGACTATGCGTTTATGTGATAAATTCTGCATTATTAAGATTAGGGCACTGCTACATTAGATACGGTACAGGTTTACAATAACTAGCCCCTGTGTTGAAGAATTTATCATCTAACTGAGGGTAAGAGAAAAGATCTGCTATTTAGGTACATATTTTGCAATAGGATTGCATTAATTACTTGGGGAACCTGATTTCTAAATTAACATGGAATATGAAGAATTTACGTGTCAGAACATGACAAAAAATTCCAATCCCAGATTTAGTGACCGCTTAAACAAAAATATCCTACTACTGGGTATTTCTGCCATAATTAGGGATAAACTAAATGATACACTCACCCATGGCCACAGGACATCACTAGTTCGGAACCATGCTGCCCTGTTCTTAATGTTTGCCACCATGGTCTGTGCATAAAGGTGAATGCTGGTATCAGTAACAGGAAGACTCATGTTTGGATAAACACCATCTTTTGGTGGATCTGGGAACACTGCAATTCCATTCCAATAAAATCCCGATCTAAATAGAAAGAGAAGGCAATTCACTACAAAGATGGACACAATGGAAAATTATGGATGGAAGCGTTCTAAGGTCTAAATCTGTTGATACTTGGGGGTTCAGTGACACAAATCCTGATGACATGCATTCTTAGTTCTTAATTTCTTTTACATCTGGTTTTCTGGGTGCTCACTCATGGTTAGACATGAAAAATCTTATGCTGTCTGAAAATAATTATATTTGGCCTGCTTTATAGCAGCCTGAAGTCCTCCCTGCCTTTCACTTAAAATGGGTTGGCAACATAGAGCTCATGAGCTGGATCCAGTCCACTGGATCCAACCAGCAGATCTGGAGGGCTTTTCCTGTTCTGTTGCTGCTCCCCACCCTCCCAGCTCTGGCTTGACAACAGTTTACGGTTCCGTGTCAGCAGTGGTGGGGCTTTCCAACTCCCATACCAGGGCCAGGCAGCTGCCATTTCCCCCTGATCACTACTCCCTGGATGCAGCTTCTAGCCTCTGGGCTAGAAGCATTTGCAAACTTTATCCATCTTGCTGCTGCTTCTCCCCACAATTCCTCCAAGCTGTGGCATGGGACCAAGCAGCTTCCAGCTGTGTCCATGCTGCAGCCAGAGAGGGGGAGAAGAAGAATGAGAGGAAGGGAGGAAAGGCAGTGGCAGCATGATGCCATTTGCAGCTGCCTAGTCTCAGTGCAGCTCTCTCACTCGCTGGAAGCTGCACTACGAAGCAAAAAACTGGGGGGAAGCAGGGTGGTACGGTTCCTAGCTGCCTGCCCCAGCCTAAATGCAGGGAAAGCTCCCCATTGCTGATGCACTGCTGAAACCACCCAGCCCAAGCTGGACTGGAGCTGGGTTGTTCTGGCCTGTGGCTTATAAAAAGGTTGCTGGACCCTGATTTATAACTACGTTATTTCTTAAATAATCCAAACCATGCAAAAAATTGTAGGTTTGAGTCCTACTAAGGATTTTCAAATGTTTCCACAGCAAAGACCACTTCTTGACGGACATGGCTTACAGTCTGTCATAATTTTATACTATAGCTTATCGGGGTGACAGCTGAGTACCTTTTGTGTAAAATGAATGAACTATAGTGAAGCCTTTGGTGGATTTCATGGAGTTTCTAACACTTTCCCTTTTCAGGCTCCCCTCACCCTTTACTTACAGTATTTTTCTATTCGAGTTGGTTAATTTTTTTTTATTTCACACCACTTATATTCTTTATTAACTTTTTCTTGGGAAAAAGGAAGCAGGTAGGAGAGTCTAAATAGATGGAGGTGTCAGTGGTAGAAGTGTCAATCCTGCTGTGGTGGAAAGGCTTTTTCAAGCCTTTTACTGACTCTATGTTTTACGGTGAGGAAAGAATTAGGCCTCAATCGTTTGAGGTGCTGTGCGCCCTCACCTTGTGGTGGCTAGAACTTGTTATGGCCCTTAGCACATTACAGCATTAAGCTCAATGAGTCCAGCCACCCTTTCCATTTACCAAGCACCTGGAACAAAAAGCACTCATGAAGTGCAAGTCTTTTACATTAAATAGACCTAGCAGATGACCATACATTTCATATTGCCTAAATGCCTAAGATTTGATGCTACTGAAGCAAAATAACCAATGCTTGCTCAGGGTTTAAAGCTTCAAACCTGTTTGAAAAGGGCAGTTGTGATGGGGTACAATAGCTGAACTCATCCATAACATGAGTGAAGATCTCCTGATTTTCAGATAAGGAGGGAGAACTTCTCCACACAAACTGAAGCTTCTAGAAAAGACAAAAAGAAATACTATAAAACACTGTAAGATATATGCCTGCACAGTTCAAAGCTTTATTCTGCTCTCTTTTACATGGACACAATTCCCACCAGCTTTGGCAAAAACTAGTCATCTGTAAGTCACGGCAGACCTGGGCTCCTAGGGACCAACTTAGATCAATACAATCTGTGGGAACCTTTCTACTGATTTAGATGGCATTTGGACCAGCCCTTGAAAAACTAAAAGTGGGAATGGTTTCTCAATCTTCAAAAATGTCTTCAGGAAAAACAAATAAGCAAACTGATTAATCACAATTCATCAACAGAGAAAGGGAATCAGTGATGGCTCCCATGGAGTCAATGGGAGCCTTACCAGCTCCTCAAGGGAGACCAGGATTTCACTTATGGTTCAGATAACTTTTACCTAAAGCACAATTAATTGGTCAAGGCTCTTCTGTCACTTAAGCCTGTGCACACCTGAGCTGTAGAGGGTCTCATCATGGATGTCTAAAGGAGAATGCAACTTAAAAATTAAAAGCCAGAAATTTGCTATATCTTAGAGTTCTCACTCAAGATATGGAAAGACTACAACAAAAGGGCTAATGTCTGTGGGACGCTTGCTTAGCTCCCACCTATGTTTTTGTAGGAATAACTGTCGCTCAATTTTACAAACACAAATACATCTAATTAGATTGTCAGAAAATTTGATTTACACTATAATCCTAAAAACAAATTAAAATACAGACTCGCTTACACTAGAGGTCTACATGGTCATCTCTGCTTATACTCTGCACATTCAACTCCTAAGCTGCAATATGAAGGGAACTATACTTATGGCTTGCTCTACAGTCTACATTTTATAGTATACTTTTACAATTAGACTAAATACCTCTGTCCCAGACCACGTCAGAAAGCCTTGATCAATGTAAGAGGACACAGTCTTAATGTATTCCTTTTGCCATACAGAAGAAACAGTGTGGTTTTCCAGAGAAGAATAATCTTTTTTCCCCGTGTTAAGCTCAGAGATATAATACTCTAAGTCAGAAGCTAAAAACTGTAAAAACACCAGAAAAAGGAATTGCATGTAATGGTTTTGCCATCTGGGGTATTTTTACCTTGGATTTCTGCATTTTGTCCTTCAGATCATAGTCTATGCGGGAGATGACGTGGGTGTTAAAACCAGCAAGAGCAAAAACAGTTGGTGTAGTAGCAGAAGCTCCAAAGGGATCTACATGCCATGAAAATTGAGGCCTTATTCCAAAGGTTTCATATAAAAATCCATGACCCTCTGCAAAGGAGAATTTGATTGTATTAGTAATAAACGTGCTCCCTTTACAAGTTTAATTGGCATATGGCATTACAGTTAAGCACAGTGGAATTTAAAAGTAAAAAAATATTCAGAGAGAAAAATCGCTTGTTCATAACAGTAATTTTGCTGTGTCTACTGCAATTAATTGCTATTACACTTCCATGTTAATAATGAAGCCATGCTACGCTTAGAGATAAGCAATGAGACATGGCTGTGCAACACATAAAAGTTCATATGAAGGTTCACGCTAAGTCCAAATAAAGGCAACAAGATAGGTTTATGGATGAATAGATGAAAACTGTTCTCAGGAAATTTCAACACATAGCAAAAGAAAACAAGACACTTCAGGTTTTAGATCCGTACAATAAAACACACCCTTGTCATACAATTCCCCCTTTCAATCATAACACACCCAAACTGTTTTCACTGGAATTAATTCCAAAAATGTAATAACTAATTCATATTAGTTTTGCTTTTAGTATTTTTTCTGTTATGTAAACACAAAAAAACTAAATTATGGTCCATATTCACACAGAATAACCTCTAAATAAAGTTTTAAAATATTAAGATGGTAAAATAAATATCTGCGAGTATGATAATTTGGGATCCTTTTTGCAAGAATCATAATTTTATAGTTTCTTGTTTGGGATTGCCATTATAAGCATTTCTATATAACTGAGGATATACTCCATTTTGGACTTTCAGATCATGATTACTTTAATACAGACACTTTAGGGAATTTTTTATCTTTAATTTCAGCCTTCCTAAGTTTTATGATTCCTGCTTTGCAAACAGTGGTAATAAATGGTTTCAGTGTAATTCTCCTTGACTGAGTCTGAACCACATTTCAGAGTGTAGTCTCTACAATTTTCTGTTTAAGGTAAGCTAACTACAGAAACATTACTACAGTGTGAACAAGACTTCTGAGACAATTTGCTAGGCAGACAAGACAGCACTTGATATGCAGACCCCAACAATCAAAACACTTTCTCATGTCAAGACAAAAAATCAGCAGGCAACATGGGGATGCATCTTTGGTTTAGTTTTATTCATGGGAGCAAAGAGTAAAAGACAGCATTTAGGAGAGGACCAGTGATATTGTAGGGTTTTGTTGTTTTCAGGTTTTTTTAAAAAAAAATCTATGTGTTTGGTTTAATTTATTACCAATCTTGTACTTCCTTAAAAAAAGTTATTCACAGATAGAAAACAAAACTATGAGATGAAGACAACTAGTGTAACTCTTAAGCCACTGTTCAGTTTTTCCAATATCCAAAGCATTTGCTAAAATTTGTAACCAAGCTGCAGGGTCTAACTACAGCTCTGGACACATGATTTTGAGTCCTGCACTTGTACCAAAGGCTGCACCCAGTTATCCAGTTGTAAATGAGGTCATTCAGGCTGGTTATTCAGGCTGCAAAGTCAAAGATAGCTTGCACGTCATTCCTTTGTGCACTGTTGGCTAAAGCTACTTGCATGCCTTGACCATGGTAGACCAAGGAGATATACAATTGTTTTGACTGGCTGTCAGGGCTGTTCAAATGGTGGCCCACGGGCCACATGAATTCCACGAGGGGTTAAACTGCAGCCCCCAGACTCCCCCCATTGCTCTGGCTGCTGCAGCCACCACAGCATCCAGGCTTCCCGTTTCTTCTATGGCTTGTACTTCCCATCCTCGTCCCTAAGGACCAAAGCGCTCTGGAATCCAGGTGGTCTCGTGAGGCAGGGGAGCTTGTATGACAGTGGGAGACTGAGGTGACAAATGCCAGGTTAGTGCAGGGGAGATCACACAG